CAATCAGACGGTTAGAGGGTGAATAATACTTCTCACGTCATACACGAACATTATAATTCGATCAAACCTGTTGAATACAATTCATTTAGTATTTCAAATAAGTCATACATAGGCACTCTTACATAAATGTTTAATCCAATATATATGGCTATGTAATTAGTCTAATCTTAACACAAAAACAATGACACAGTCTACCTGTGTACACAATAAGTAATAGTTAAACTTACGTGTTGAAAGTCTAGAGAGAAGCCAGGGTAGGTGTTGACTCTAAGATATGGGTAGCTATACTGAAATGCCCACCCTATAGCCTGGCCCCTTGGCTGGTCAGCTATGGGTGAGACAGGTGATTATAATTATACATAAACGAACTCCCTTCACACCCTCCAACCTCCTTCTGGGCCTCTCATCTTCAACCATCTCAACACTCTACAATGCATACGGGCAGGCACGCCCAATAAACATTAAACATGACATGAGTTACAGCCTAACATAGCATTTGTTTATATGTCATCATAATTATGTGCTCCTTGCGGTAACACCCACTCAGTTGAGTGTTCACGCTCAAAACCAGATCAGGCCTTTGATACTTAAGTTTGTCACGTTCATGCGACTATGCTGCCCTCAGGCTGATGGTATTTAACTTTGTCACGTCCTTGTGACTAAGCTGCCCTCAGGCTGGTAGTATTTAATTTTGTCATGTCCTTGTGACTAAGCTGCCCTCAGGCTGGTGATATTTAACTTTGTCACGTTCTCGTGACTATGCTGCCCTCAGGCTGATGGTATTTCACTTTGTCACGTCCTTGTGACTAAGCTGCCATCAGGCTGGTGGTATTTAACTTTGTCATGTCCTTGTGACTAAGCTGCCCTCAGGCTGGTGATATTTAACTTTGTCACGTTCTCGTGACTAAGCTGCCCTCAGGCTGGTGTTATTTAACTTTAATTTTGTCACGTTCTTGTGACTAAGCTGCCCTCAGGCTGGTGGTATTTAACTTTGTCACGTCCTTGTGATGAAGCTGCCCTCAGGCTGGTGATATTTAACTTTGTCACGTTGACTATGCTGCCCTCAGGCTGATGGTATTTCACTTTGTCACGCCCTTGTGACTAAGCTGCCATCAGGCTGGTGGTATTTAACTTTTCATGTCCTTGTGACTAAGCTGCCTCAGGCTGGTGATATTTAACTTTGTCAATGCTCGTGACTAAGCTGCCCTCAGGCTGGTGGTATTTAACTTGGTCACGTCCTTGTGACTAAGCTGCCCTCAGGCTGGTGGTATTTAACTTGGTCACGTCCTTGTGACTAAGCTGCCCTCAGGCTGGTGGTATTTAACATTAATTTTGTCACGTTCTGGTGACTATGCTGCCCTCAGGCTGGTGGTATTTAACTTTGTCACGTTCTCGTGACTAAGCTGCCCTCAGGCTGGTGATATTTAACTTCGTCACGTCCTTGTGACTAAGCTGCCCTCAGGCTGGTGGTATTTAACTTTGTCACGTCCTTGTGTCTAAGCTGCCCTCAGGCTGTTGGTATTTAACTTTGTCACAGTCTTGTGACTAGGCTGCCCTCAGGCTGGTGGTACTTATCAGTTCCTTAGGACATCTCGGTCCTTTGCCGTTCGGACATCACCATCTTCATGTGTGGATACCCAATTCATTCTCCTGGCCGACTCCGTCAACCCTTTCCATTGCTCCCTCCAACAAGCATAATTTTGTCACAGGTCGCAACATTGTGGACGTCGTCGTCTTAACCACTGCCTGTCGGACAAGTCCATCCTCGCCAGCCTTGACTTCCATCACTCGACCAAGGTGCCATTTGTTGCGTGGACTATTTGCTTCTACTATAATGATTAGGTCACCAGGGCGAAAGTTGTGCCGTGGTCTGAAATGCACTTGTTGAGTTCTGAGTTGAGGGAGGTACTCCGTCAGCCAGCGCTTCCAAAATTGATCTGCAAGGTACTGAACATGCTTCCACCTTCTGTGGTATGTATCGCCTATTGACCTTCCACCTAAGAGAAGATTTCCCTTTTGACTTTAGTGCAAATGATCAGCAGGAGTGAGAGCCTTTGGTTCATTTGGAGTGTTTGGAACCGGGGTGATTGGCCTCTCGTTAACTATGGCTTCCACTTCACAGAACAGTGTTTGCAGACGTTCATCGTCTAAGATTTGTGAGCCCACAATCGCCTGCAGAACCTTCTTTACTGTGCGAATCTGCCTTTCCCATACTCCCCCCATGTATGGGGCAGCTGGTGGAGTGAAGACCCAGTCAATATCTACTTTCAGTAAGGCACCTCTGAGTCTGTCATCTTGCTCCCAACTTTTCACTGCCAGTTTGAGCTCATTGGCTGCCCGTACCATGTTTGTCCCATTATCCGACCTAATACGCTCTGGTGTACCTCTGCGTCGTGAGAACCTTGTTATTGCGTTGAGGAAGGCATCTGCGTCTAATGAGGCCACGACTTCTAGATGAACAGCCCTAATAGTTAGACATGTAAACAGACATCCCCAGCGCTTAACCTGTTTCCTCCCTACCTTGATAATGAATGGACCAAAACAGTCCGTTCCAGTGTAAGCAAATGGAGCCTTTCCAGGAGTGACACGATCTATTGGTAAGTCAGCTTGCCTTTGATGCCGACTTCTCCAGTTGTTCCGTCGGCACACTACATAGCGTTGTATGATTCTATCAAGCAAGCGTCTGCCCTGGGGAATCCAATACCTTTGCCTCACACACGCCATCATGTGTTCTCGTTCGGCATGTCCGGCTCTCTCTTCGTGCATCTCCCGCACTATGATTTCGGTGATGTGGTGGTCTCTAGGCAGCTAGATTGGCTCCTCACCACTTCGCCCAAGAAGGGTTCCTTTAATTCATCCCTTTGATCTGAGCAACGTTCACTCGTCCAAGTAAGGTTCCAGTTTATATAGCTTATTGTCCTTCGGCAGCTCACCCTTTATGACAGTTTGGATTTCTTTCTCATAAGCCTCTTTCTGCACCAATTTTATAATTGTCTGCTCAGCCGACTGTAGTTCCTCAGTGCTTAGCCTCTTCAGTTTGAGGCGCAGGTCTGCGGTCCTTGTACTGGACCCAAGCCACGAAATGAACCTTTTAATCCATGCCACCCCTTTCACCAAGCGGTACCATGATGAGTACCTGAGCCACAGTTTGGCGAGGGACTACTTTGACTGCTCGCTCACTGCCAGAGCAACTACAGATCTCTGGTGTACTTCTCGTTTCACCTCCAGTAAGTCATTCAGAACTGCTGGCAGTTCCTTTCCCTTTGGCCACCGTTCTTCAACACTGAGTAGAAAGTCAGGATCTCGTATCCACCGAGATCCTGCAACCAGGTCCAGGACAGGTAATCCCCTAGTTGCATCATCTGCTGGGTTCAGCGATGTGCCGACATGTCTCCACTGGTCAGTTCTTGACAGCTCTTGTATGACTGCTATCCTGTTGGCTACAAACGTTTGAAATCGTCTGCTCGAATTGGCGATGTACTGCAAAACTAGCATGCTATCCGTCCAAAAATAGAATTCGTGTATGGTCATGGTCATTTCTCGGCGAATTGTTCGATCAGCGTTCACTGCCACGACAGCTACACAAAGTTCCAGCCTTGGTATTGTCAGTTGCTTGAGTGGGGCCAGCTTGGCCCGTCCGTAGACGAAAGAGCACTGGATACTTCCGCCAGAGTCTACCATTCTCAGATAGGTCACCGCACCGTAAGCAGCCTGCGATGCATCGCAGAAGGTGTGCAACTGTGCTGAGATGATTTCTTTAGCACATGCTGTTTTTAGGCATCTGGGTACCCTTAATTTCCCTAGGTGGGCCAGTTCTCCTAGCCAGGTGCTCCAGGTCGTGTGATTAACAGCCGACAAAGGTTCGTCCCACCCTAATCGACGCCTTCATTCACACTGAAATAATATTTTAGCCCTGATGATGAATGGGGCCACGAACCCCAGTGGGTTATAAATAGAACTGACCAGGCTTAGTACTCCTCTCCTGGTCGCTGGCTTTGAGTTTGGTTGCACCTTGATGGCGAGCTGATCACCTTCCAGGAGCCACCTAACCCCCAGGGCTCGCTCCATTGGCAATTTGTCTTGCCTCAGATCAATTTCCTTCAGTGCATTTTGCCTCTCCTCCGGTGGGATGGTAGCCAACACTCCTTTGTGATTACTGGCCCACTTAGTTAACCGAAATCCTCCACACGCCAACAGTCTTCGAAGCTGACACACTAACATTGATGCTTCATTTGATGAGTCCAGCGACATGAGCAGGTCGTCAACGTAGAAGTTGACTTCCGCTTGCGCCACCATGTCGGGAAACTCGGATCTGTGGTCTTGGAATGTGCGCCGGAGAGCGTAAGTTGCACATGAAGGGCTCCACACCCCACCAAAGATGTGCACCTTCATCCTGTAGGTTATTGGCTCTCTACTCAGGTCCCCATTCTCCCACCAGAGGAATCTTAACGCATCTCGATGTTCTGGCACTACAGGGATTTGATGGTACATAGCCTCCACATCTGCCATGATGGCTCTAGTTCCTTGGCGAAACCTAAACAGGACTCCAAGTAATTTGTTGTTGAAGTCTGGACCTTGTAGTACCTGGTCGTTCAGCGATGTCCTTTTGTGTTTGGCTGCACAGTCAAAAACTATGCGTACTTTGTTTGGCTTATTTGGGTTCAACACCGGGTGATGAGGCAGATACCAGACCAGTCCAGTAAGTGACTCCAACTGGCACTTAGGCACTGATTCAGCATATCCTTCAGCAAGCAGTTTATTTATTTCCTCTACGTATCCTTGTCGCAGCTGTGCGTCCTTGGATAGTCTCCTTCGAAGCCCATCGAGTCGACGTCTCCTGTCAGTGGAGTACAGTATTTCTACCTGAGCTTCTTCATAAGTGTAACTGGCCATTGTGTCATCCTTTAGAACTTCACAATATTGCACATATTTATTAATCACTGTTAGAGCTGGTGATTATTGGGAGGTGTTATAAATGTGTTCATTAACTATCATAACAGGTGGAGCACATGATGGAAGAAACAAAGTACAGTCACCTGACAAGTGATATGGGTGGTGCAGAGCAACAAGGTGTTGCAGTCATGGCAGATGATGCAGATGGAATGCATCATGGAGTTGTAGTCAATCTACAAATGGAGGTAAGTTTCAAAAAATTAATTGTGTTAATAAAAAATAGTATTTTGATACATGCAGTACACTACTTACTGCTAAAACTAGTTTTCTTTACTATTTATGAGTTTATTATACAGACTGAAGATTAAGGGGATAGTTTTCTCTACTAGTCCTTCAGTCATACAGTAGAACGTTGAATTAAAACGATTCAATTTAAGATTCATGGTTTAAAGCAACACCCACAATTAAGGACAATGTTTTAATTTAAAGCGAATCTTTTCTATTTTGTGAGAGTCAATCTGGCGCATCATACAGCTCCTCCCCGACTTATGACAGGGTTAGGGACCCAAATCCAGGTTATTAGTCGAAAATGCTTAAATAATACAAAGAAAATCTAAAATGGATGTCTCTCTTTCTTCTCAGCACCACAAAACTCTCACTTTTAAGCTTGCCAGCCATTTTAAAGTGAATTACAAACGAAAATTTTCTCTGCGTACTGACGGGACTCAAAAATATGTAATTTGACAAAATGTTGGTACGACTGAGGCAGGTCGTAAGTGCGGGTGGTCGTAAGTCGAGTAAGTTGTAAGTCGGGGAGGAGCTGTATTTTAAAATTCGCACCTAATGTTTCTCTGGGCACGCTACACTGTCCTAAGGGCAAAGCTGTACTGTACATGTACTCAATATAATGTACTAAATGATTACTAAAATTTTTGTCTATACAGTCGGCCCTTAACATACGCGGGGGTTACGTAACAGAGATACCTGTGGATGTTAAAAATCCGCGTATATGTGCTGCCCCCCCAAAAAAAAAAAAAAAACCCTGGGCCCCCCCCCATGTCCTTATTTACCGTATATACCTGTGTGTAGTTCGAGTTTTTAAGACCAAATTATTTGACAAAAAATTGGGGGTCGACCTCTAAACGGGTAATAGTTTCGTTATTTTGAAAAATATTTACCAGTAACTACCAGTAAACAATGGAAACGATGCACCAACGCACCAACGCACCACCAGCTGTGAGTGTCGGTACAGTCGCCAGGGCAGATCTCTTGCGTCATCATAGCAAGCCCAAAGTAGCCAAATCCATGGTATGGTAGCACAGGACGATGTAAAACATTAAGTATTCATTTATTAAAGTTTATTTATACTGTAGATACTGGACATAAATTTTTTTTCATTACATTTGAAACATCAATCTTTGTTAATTAAATTTGAAACAAAAGAAAACTACGATACCGTATTTTCATTAAAATATTACATCACAAGTATATTTTACCTTAACTGTGAATGAATGAATATACGTATTCTCAGAAATAAATATAGAAATATAATATTTTTGCTGGAATGACGTACATATTACAGTGGAAAGTGGGCTAAAATCATGACGAAAACAATGACTTTCGCTTTCTTTCGTTATTCAAAAGATTTTACCGTAATCGCTTTTCGAATGGTTTTCAGTTAAAAAACTGTTGTACTCGTACTGTATTACAATAATATTCTATCCTATCATTAGCCTTATAATCCCACAACGGAAAACCATTCGAAAAGCGATTACGGTAACATCTTTTGAACGAAAGAAAGAGAAAGTCATTGCTTTCGTCACAATTTTATCCCACTTTCCACTGTAATACGTACATCATTTCAGCAAATATATTGCATTTCTATGTTCTCAGAAATAAATGGTAATTTTGTTGAAACGTAATGTACAGTATTTAATATTAAAATGCAAAAATAGCTATAAAAACAATTAATACACCCGTAATGTACTGGTTGGCATCTCGTCCCTGCTCCCGCGTCCAAGGTCACCACTCCTCCCAACTCGCTCCCTCCGCTCCCTCCTCCACTTCCTCACCGTGACTACTGCCGACAACAAACACAAATGTTTTGTGAATAACTGCACCTCCACTTCCTATGTACAGTACTGAACTGTACTGTGCTGTGCATTTTTACAAACAATAAACATGGCAAGAAAAGCTATTAAAAAAAGATATAAAAATTTCACTTTACTGTACAGTACCTATCTTCCGCGACAGGACGGGGGTCATCGGGCTCATCGTCACTCAATTCCATAACGGGTGGTGAGGTGGGGGCGACGGTGGATTCAGGTGCTTCCTCACTGCCGCCAGTGATTGATGGTGTTAAATCTCTCCTTCGGTGATCAAAGAACATGGTGATGGGGAGTTGTCGTCTCTTTCTTTCATTTCTTCCATGATGTTTTTGTATGGAGCAAAAATGTCATCCATCCCTCGCATGAATTTCAGGGCATGCACCATGGAGGGATCCATACTATAGGCCAGGTTTTTCAGTGCCTCAATATTCCTGGTCATGTCCCCCAACTTCTCCAATGTTATTTCTTGGTGCTCTTCCTCATCCTCTTTCCCTTTCGCTTCCTCTTCCTTGCCTGAGTCTACTAACTCCTGTAGATCCTCCTCGGTCAGCTCAGTGTCGTGCTCTTCAATTAGCTCCCGAATGTCGTCCTCTGCCATGTCCTGGAAGCCTTCAGCAGCCACTTTCCTTGACAGTGCCAGGGTCTTTCTGAATATTTTCATTAATATCCATCAAAATCATTTTCCTTGTCATCGTCTCAAGCACCAAACAGCTCCTCCCAGTCTTCTCCTTGAACAGGGCTAGAGGGTATGTGTTTTTCGAATCGTTTTCAATTAAAAAAATGTTACATCACACGTATATTTTACCTAAACTGTGCCTGAATGAATATTTTCTCAGAAATAAATAGTAGTTTTGCTGAAACGTGATGTATTTCAATGTAAAATAGGATAAAATACATGACGAAAACAAAAGACTTTACCTAACCTTCCAATGTTCAAGAGATGTTACTCGTTTTTTTAATGGTTTTCGGTTAAAATACTGTTATATTACAATGATATTCTATTCATACTGTGCTTGATATACTACATTCACGGAAATGTAATATTTTTGCTGAAATGACGTACGTTTTACAGTGGAAAGTGGGATAAAATCTTGATGAAAACAATGACTTTCGCTTTCTTTCGTTCAAAAGATGTTACCGTAATCGCTTTTCGAATGGTTTTCAGTTAAAAAAACTTTTGCATCACAAGTGAATTAGGTATGGAATATTATTGTAATACAACAGTTTTTTAACTGAAAACCATTCAAAAAGCGATTACTGTAACATCTTTTGAACGAAAGAAAGCGAGTCATTGCTTTCGTCACTTTCCACTGTAATACGTACGTCATTTCAGCAAAATATTACATTTCCATATTCTCAGAAATGAATAGTAGTTTTGCTGAAATGTAATGCATTTCAATGTAAATTAGGATAAATTACATGAAAACAAAAGACTTTACCTAGCCTTCCGATGTTCAAGATATGTTACTCGTTTTTTTAGTAGTTTTCGGTTAAAATACTCTTATATTAGTGATATTCTATTCATACCGTGCTTGATATAATACATTCACGGAAATGTAATATTTTTGCAACTACAATGCTGATGTCAACACAAGCGTGGTTACAGCGAGACTGACTGAGTGAGGGAGAGCTATGCGTGTGTGTGTGAGGTTGCGGGAGCGGGCGGTGTCCCGTGTTCGGTGCCGCGCGCGAGTTGAATGGCGCGCGATTTGAATGTACTTCAATTACTTCAATGTACAGAATATTCCTCCGGCGGGGCAATCCGCGTATTTGCAAATCCGTGTATGCTAAACCCGCGTATGTTAAGGGCCGACTGTACAGTGATCCTTCGGGTAATGAGCGCCTCGGTTTATGAGATTTTAGTTAACGATTTACCTTCCATAAGATTCTTAACTTCGGTTAACGAGCACTCCCTCGTTTAACAAGTTTTTTATGAGCCGACCTCAACATGTTTTCGCTTGCATTTGGCAGTCCACCAGCTGTAGTATTAGTCCGCCAATACAGAAATCGGTTTTAGGGCTTAAATTCCTTACTATTTTAGTAAATATGAAGAAGTTTATACTATTTATAATTTTAATTGTTTAATATTAACTTTTTTAGTCATTTTAACAATTATTGAACATAAATGAAGGTAAAGAAACTAGTTTCTGGCGCGCCATCCAGCCTGTTAACACACAAAACAGGCGTTAGTCTCTCTCTCTTTTCAGTGGAGGTAACATCTTGCTTGAGACTCTCTTCAACTAAATGCTTTTTTCTGTGTTTGCAAGCAAATTATTGGTCATTTTGAAATTTATTTTACATACAGTGATCCCTCGATTCACGAGCGCCTCGGTTAACGAGATTTCGGTTAGCGAGTTACCTCCCATAAGATTCTTAACTTCGGTTAACGAGCAATCCCTCAGTTAACGAGTTTCTTACGAGCCGACCTTAACAAGTTTTGGCTTGCAATTGGCGGTCAACCAGCTTTAGTATTAGTCCGCCAATACAGTAATCGGTTCTAGGGCTTAAATTCCTTACTATTTTAGTAAATATCAAGAAGTTTATACTATTCAATAATTTTAAAAGTTTAATATTAAATTTTTCAGTTATTTTAACAATTATTGAACATAATTGAAGGTAAAGTGACTAGTTTTATGCGCGGCATCCAGCCTCTTAACACAGCAAACAAGCGTTAGTCTCTCTCTGTTTTCAGTGGAGGTAACATCTTGCTTGAGACTCTCTTCAACTAAATGCTTGTTTTCTGTGTTTCCAAGCAAATTATTGGTCATTTTGAAATTTATTTTACATATTGACAATATATAGCACAGTGCAGTGTTATTTTAAAGAAAATATTCTTTATTTACAGCAAGTTTATACCTAAAAGATCACGTGTTGACATTGTTTGAATCCAGCATGGGGCCTAAGAGATCAAGAAAAGCGATTTCAATCGAAACCAAGCAGGAAATTATTAGAAAACATGAACAAGGCATTAGAACAAATGCGCTATGCAAAGAATATGGCATGTCGACAATTCTTGCACAGAAAGACAAATTTAAAGATGTGAAAGTGAGAGACAAATCTACCAGAGTGTTTAAAAGTAGATACCTAATTGCAGAAACTGAGAGGTTACTTCTCATCAGGATTAGGGAAAAACAGAT